GGCCGTTCCTTGGGCACCCCACTCTTTGTGCACTCTGGCACAAAGCCGTGAGCAGAAATGACAGGCTGGGGGAAAAACTCGAAGCTGGTGGTTCAGAAATACTTCTGGAAGCCCCCTTTTCAGGGAACCCACCACCACCACCTTTGTGATGAGAGCAGGCACATGTAACACCTGCAAGGATTTAACTTTTTTTCTGTGCATTGACTCACCGCGGATTGTGATCCTTTACCGACAAACTGGACACTTGGGCAGATCCCGGGCCGTCTGGAACTCTCCTTTCCCGCCCCGTTTTCCCTTGCTCGGCTGCCGTCAGCAACGCTGGTGTCTGCTGCTCTCTAGTGGCCTGCGCTCCGAGCTGCACTCGCTGGGTCAACTTTCGTGTTGCTCACCCCTGAAAAATCAGTCTGTTAGGTAAAAAAGGCTTCCCCCCCCTTTTCCATTTCAGTGGATTAGCAGCGGTGAGGAGCTTCGGGTGTGGGATGGAAAACTTTTCTCGCACGACAAAACCTCAAGCCAGGAGATGCTCTAGTGAGTGTCTGTGAGGGGCTGGCAGGGTGGGGGTATGGAAGGGAGGGGAGATGCCCGAAACGCTGCAGGGACATTCTGAATCCAGCCCCTGGCTGTGCCCTGCGGCGGATTTGACTCTAATTTAGGCCTTATTAGTTTCCAGGGCGTGCGTCGTGAGCGACAAGCGAGATAAAAGCTGAGGAAAGATCAAAGCAGATTTCATGGGTTTTATGGCTTTGTGCTTCTTGGTTTCACTTTCCCGTGAAGCCTTTCTTCTCTCTCTGAGCGCTGCCCTTTCATCTCCCTCCCCATTTCCACCCGGCAGGCCAGAGCTTGCCAACCTTCCATCATGAAGCACGACTTGTGTGCTTGACCCGCCTTCCTTTCATACCCCCCAAACGTGAACTGGGTTATTTCAGCCCAAGACAGCTCCTTTCAGTATCAATTCCTGCTGAGACTTCTGCCCTTAGCAGAAGCTGGGCTCAGGTTTCTCTGTCTCCTTTGAGAGCATCTCCGGGCACAAGGCTCTGGTGTCCAAAGTGCTGATTCAAGGGGTGCTGGGTTCAAGAGGAAAGCTTGAGAAGGGGCTTTCCAAGGGGTGGGAGGGCTGCTCATTTCCCCAGAAGACATTAGTATTGCAGCTTCCTTCTCAGTGCAGACCTGGATTTCCCCTCCTTACCATGCGCACTTCTACTCGCTGCTGGAGAACAGTCGCTCTTGGCTTGGGGCTTTTCTAAGTACAGCTACTCCTGTGGTGGCTTGTGGGTGAAATGTGGGGAAAGCATCTTCCCCGAGGGAAAAACAAGTGGGGAGGCACCTGGCAAAAAGAGGATAAGGAAAGGCCTTGAAGCATTAAGTGGACATGAGCGAAAAAAATGACTCTGGGTTATTCTGCAAGCCAAGTAATGTGGAGACAGCTTAATTATGGGCTCAAGTAAAGTGGAAACCACTAATAACTGGAAAAACAGAAAATGTTTAACCAAACTTGTAGCTGCATTTATCAAGATGTCAGACTCCAAGGAGAAGGGGAGGAAACTGCCGTAACACTCCTGGGAGATTGGTGCTAGGACTTTTGGGAAATGTTTGGGAAGGTTGGGAAGGTTGCCCAAATAGGATATGATTTGGCTCCAGAAATCAGAACATGCCTTCAGGAGGCTGCTCCCTCTGGAGCATGGAGGGGAGATGAACCTGCGGACCATCCTTGTTGCATTTGTGGCACTTTGGGTATCTCTTTGGTCCTTGTCATGCACCGAGAGGTCTGACTGTGAAAACTCATGTGACTCCTTCCATATCCTGGTAGTCCCAGAGTCTAATTCCTTTTTCTAGTCGCGGGCTTGCTGCATCCTCTTGGTATTCCAGGGAAAGGTGCTTTTGGGGGTTGTTGGGGGTGGCAACTTCCCATCTTGTGAAGCAAGATCTAGCTGGAGGAGTTTGCAGGAGCGTGTTAAGCCATTGTGAGTAGACCTGGATGGCTTCTTTTCTACCCTGAGAAGGAAGTGCTAAAAGCCGGAGCCCTTCCTCCCGGCTGCTGGAGACGCAGAGAACTCCAGGTTGAAGTGGCTCTGACTGTGCAGAGAGAGCAGCAAGACCCTGTCAACAGGCACTGCTGGCTTACAGTGTCCACTGGCTCCCTCCTGTCGCAGCCCGACTCCATGTCCCTCATCATCCCGTTGCTCCCATGGCAAGGGGTTGAGCCGTCGCCGTCACCGCGATGCAAATCTCCAACGGCGCCCGGGCGCTCCGCGGCACCTGCGGCGTCTAGACCGGTTCCTGCGCCCACATGCAAATGTGTGGGAAGGGAACCAGGGCTCACGGCCTCGGTGGCACTTTCTGGGAAAGCCCTCGGGTCTCCCTCCTGCCTCGCCTCATCCATGCCAGGCGGCGCGGTGCTTTCGGCTCTCCCGGTGTGCCCCGGAGGGATAACGCCGCTCCTCGGCTCGGCCTTTCGGATTGACTCGGGTCAGAAACAGAGCGAGAGCTCGGCAGGGCTGTGGGGCGCCGGGGTGCTCCCCACGGTGCTTTTCTAGTGCAAGTTGGCACAGCAGTCCGGGGCTTTTCTCCTGGGCTCGCTCGGTGCCATTTGCATCTCTGGAGTGGGTGGCCGGGATGTCCCAAAAACTGCCCCTGCTCCAGGGCTGACGTGCTGCTCAGCACCTACTGCGGCTGTCCCTGCCGCGGAAAGCTGCTCCACACAGGTCCTATGGCTCGGGATTGACTGGGGAGGCAGGAATGTCACATTCGCAGTTCTCAAAATTATCCTTAGTTCCTCTGGTTCCTGCTCGGAGCCTTTCTCCTTCTGCCTCATCCCGTCTCTTTCAAAAGCTCCCTCGTACCGTATTCCCTGTGTCTGGCCCTCAAGCAGACCAAACGGTTTTAAAAATGCCCGTAGCAGGTTTCTCACCTGCTTGCAGAGGTGTCACTGCTCTGCTGTCACCAAAAATGAGCCCAAACTGAGATTTTTGTCCCCACGCTGCATCCCCAGCAAGTCTGTTCACCTTGGCTTGAAGACAGTAAGTGACAGTAAGCTCTACAGGTCGCTCAACCAACCTAATTTTGGACTGATTTCGTTAGGTTTTGGCTTATTCTGGTGCTCTCACACTGAGGCTGAAATAGGTGTGGGTTTCAGGTTTCGGTAGGAGGCATCTTTATCTCTGAAGCAGGTACAGGACCACAAACCGCAGCAGTGAAGATTCACTGCGGTTGGGGTTTTTGGGGGGGAAATTTAAAACACAAAAACCCCATAGTTTGTTGGGTTTTTTTTCTCCTGCAAGGAGCCCTGGGTGAAGGGAGGAGCGGGCTGAAAAATTTCGGCTGTGATTTAGGCGCCGGGGGAAGGATTCAGGAGGTGTAAAAAATTTGATAAAAAATGACTGAAATAAAAGCCTTGCCTGCAAAGGCGCAGCTGCTGCAGAAAACAGAGAAGCTGTGAGGATGTTTTGTACATGTTTCAGTTGGTTCTGGCCTGGATGAGGCCACAGATCGATATGTGAGGGCCCCTCTTCCGAATTCCTGGCGTCTAGGAAGCGGTTAACTTAAGTATAGCGGCAGGTCAGATCCTCACCCCCCTTCTCCCTTTTCAAAACTCCCACTGGTGCGCAGGAACATGGGGCACCGCAGCGACTGTGGCTTTTCCTTCCTGACAGAACACCACAGTGCCCCTCAACTGCCCGTTAGTCATCCATCAGGACCAGTGGGCTGATTCAGAAACCCTGGCGTGGCAGCCAAGTCCTCCTTTCTCGCCGCCTCCACGTTGATTCCGCCTTTCCTGCCTAGAAAGATTTGGAGAGGCCTTTTGTGCTTCCGTAGCAGTTTGTGTAGGTGACTGGTCATCTCTCCCGGTGAATCGCTGCCTTCCCCACCATTTTTTTTCCGAGAGAACCCTTACACAACCTAACAAAACCAGTCCTAGGTTGGGCTTCTAATAACTCTCTGCAAGGAAATTTAAATCTGAAAGGACTGATCAAAAAGCAGTTTTAAGGCCATGTCCTTTTTTACTGCTGTGACAGCAAGGTGCTTGTTCCTTCTGTAGGACTTGGGGAATAGCCCATGGAAATTTTCCCTGGCCTCTCCATGACCCTGGTGTACAGGGAGTTAAACTCAATCGTCTCTTTTTGACCTTGATCTCTTGAACAAGGTCTTCACAAGACTTTTGGACTTAGAGGAAAAACCAGGTTTTCAGAGAGAGATGAGTCGCTTGAGTGGAAGACTCTTCTTTTTTTTTTTTTTTAATGTACCATTTTGTTACTATATAAAATGCTGATGCAATTTGAAAGCTCCAAATTACAACATTATCACACAAACCACATCGCTGTTCTTGTGCCCTCTTCCTTCCTCCTCGCCTGTCCCCCTTCCCCTTTGGCTTCCTGGCTGGTGACTTTGCAGACTTTATTCAGGGCAGCCCCTGTCCCATTGACATCCACGGACATGGGATGCTGCTGTGGCCACCCTGGGTGTGTTACTAGTCCAGCCAAGCATGAGATCTGAAGGGTCTGAGTAGAAACAGAGCAGAGATCTTGGTTATTTTTCCATGGTGAGGCGTTTTTGCTGATGAAAGAGGCAGCAAAAATAGCGTGGGGGAAATACAGCCCTAAGAAAGAAATATGTAAATGTCTGAGGGCATTAAACCCCCTCTGCTCAGCCAGGGCCGGCGCTCTGGTTTTATGCTGGGCTTTTTTGTGTGGTTGAGGGGTAAATGCTCAAGGGAGTGAAGGGTGATATGAGCACAGACCCAACAGAAACAGGGTGTGGGGAATCCAAATCTGTGCCTCGTCCCAGTGGCAGGTCTCGATCAATAATATTGTCAATTCAGCCCCCGAGGCGGCTGTGGGAGCAGCCGAGAAATGATGTCACCCCTCTCCATGCTCTGCTGGCTGGCTGTTGACTGCTCAAGTGTGAACCTTGTGCCTGAGTCGGCGTGTGACCCTCCCCAATAAATAGGGGTGTTTGTGCAGCCGGCTCCTCAGAGCGTCCCCGGGGCCGATCCTGCCGCGAGGATGCGAGTGCTGGCTGGGACAGGGATGGGAGTCCCCGTGCTCCCCTGGCTGCTGCTGCTGCTGGTGATGTCCCACTCAGCCCACACAGGTGAGCTCCGGGTGGCTTTGCTGTCAGCTCCCTGCTGTGGGTGGGCATCACCCGCATCCAGGGACTGGAGGAGACTGGGATCTTCCTGCCTGTTTAGCTGAGGGAAAAAGTGTGGCCGTCCTTTGCCAGGGTCTGGTTCAGCTTTCAGGAGCTGTGTGGGAGCAGGGAACTGAGGCAGAGGCACAGCTTCTTACTGTGGTCCCTGCAATGCTGTTGGTGAAAACATGGAAAGGGAAACTTCCTTTGACTCTCGGAGCTGCTGCATCTCTAACAGCGCGGTTTGTGTCTGTAAATTGCCCCCTTCTCTCTCTCTCAGCCATCCTGGAGGTGAACGGGAACCTGAGCTGTAGGTGTGCCAAGACAACCTCGGACTACATCAGTCCCAAGAAATATGAGAGCATTGAGATAAGGCCCGTGGGCAGCACCTGCAGGCGCACGGAGATCATGTAAGTGCTGTGCTTCTGCCGCCATCCTGCTTCTGTGCTGCCTTGCTGGAAACCTCTCCAAAACTGCTGCTGGCTTCTCCCTGAGAAATATGAGGTGTGGAAATGCACCCCAGGCCACCTGCTACAGGACCCAAAGGAATGTTTCCAGCCAGGGAAAGTGTGATTTCCTCATGCTGGTGCTTAGCAGGGAGGGTGCTGGAGAGGGGGCTGTTTGCAGCTTGGAGGGAGCACACCTTTAAACGCTGGGCCATAACTAATTTTCCCAGAATTCCTTAACTGCTCAGCATTGATACATTTGTAAACCTCCAGAAAAAAACTGTGTTTGAACCATGCTCTGGTCTTCAAGTCTTTGCTCCACACGGCAATGTGTTGCATTTTCCTTGTTCCTAGCCATCCCGTGGCTTCCTCTGTCTCTGGCTGCTTTCCCTGGCACTGTGAGCAAAAGCTGACTCTTGCCTATCAGCTCTGGCTGCTCGAATCCCTGCCTTTGGAGGGGACAGGAATGCTCAGGAGCTCTCCTTGCGTTTCAGAATTAAATTAAGAGCTGCAGGGAAGGTGTGTGTGAACCCCGAAGCCCCTTGGGTAAAGAAGCTGCTGAAGCGTATCGCTAGCACGTGAGTTGGTCTGGTGGAAACCCCTTTGGCTCAGGTGGCCTTGGGCAGCATTCCAGCACATCTGCACTCCTGAGAAGTGCTTGTGGATCTGGGGGGCTCTTGGGGGGCTGCTGGTGGCCAAGGGACTCGCTCCCAAGGCAGTGAGGGGCAACTCTTTGCTGTGCAAGTTCCACAAGACCCAGGGTCATGCTCTCCCTGGCTTATATGCACAGTGCTGTGTCTCCAAAAACATTTTAGAGGGGAAAAAAAAAGGTGGGGAGCAATGGCAGGAGCAGGGTTGGCTCATTGCAGGTGTAGTAGTACATCAGTGCTGGGCTGGGAAACCGCCCCACTCTGTGCCCGTGCCGGGTTTGTGGCTGTCCCAGCGAGTGATTCCCACCCTGGGGAAATGGCAGTGACTTCCTTTGCTTGGGGCAGGAGCTTCCTCCCCCCAGGACCCGCTTTTCTCGGCATTCACCCATTTCTCCTCCTTCTGCTTTTCGCAGGAAGAAAAAATAAGTTTCCTGCTAAGGAAGTTGATGCCCAGAGCCCCGAGACGGGCTGGTGGACGATGCCCGGGTGTGCAGACCTGGCTGCTCCTCACTTTGCCCTCGCTTCCCCCCCTCCTGAAACACTGGCAGTGCCGGTAGGGAGGGTGGCTCACTGCTGGCCCCAGCCCCACGGTGGGTTTGTGGGGGTGTTTCCCCCTGCATTTGGTCCCCGGATCGGTGTGAACCTGAATCCTTCATTTATTTACTTGCCCGTGGACTGCGAAGCCGTTCTCTGTGAGGGGCTGCTCCTGCTTCTTTAGGAATGACTTTGTGACTCTTTCTGTGCGAAGTGCTCAGCGACAGAGTGTGTGTCTGGGGTTTGTGTGGCACAGCATGGCGTGTCCTGTCCCGAGAGCTCAAGTCCAATAAAATTCAGGATTTTTTCCTGCCGTTGTATTTCCCTGGATCTCCTAGCTTTGAAGTAATATAGGACAGTTTGGGTTGGAAGGCATCTTAAAGCTCATCTCGTTCCATCCCCCTGCCATGGGCAGGGACACCTTCCACTATCCCAGTTTGCTCCAAGCCCCATCCAACCTGGCCTTGGACACTTCCAGGGATGGGGCAGCCACAGCTTCTCTGGGCAACCTGTGTCAGGGCCTCCCCACCCTCACAGGGAAGACCTTCTTCCCAAAATCCCATCTAACCCTGCCCTCTGCCAGTGTAAAGCTATTCCCCCTGGTTGAGGGTCCTTCCTATCCTAACCTGTTGTTTCCCTGAGTCCTGATTGGAGGCCACGATGTTCCTGGCAGGGAGCTGGATCCAGCCAATGCATCCCACATCCAAGTGCTGGTGTTTGCGATGGGGCTGGGGTTTGCAGGCGGCTGTAAGGCTTTAAAAATCAATCCAGGCCGAAAGGGAATGGGTGTGAGGTCACGTGGCAGAGTTCTGGGGGAAAAGACCAAAAGCAAATGTCACCAGAGCTCTGCTGGTCTGCGCCTTGTGGGGGGACAACGTGGCTGTAGGAGAAAATAGTAATATCAGGACAGATATTACTGTAATAATAGTAATGCAGGACAGAGAAACCTCTGGGCTCGTGGGGCTGTGCGGGCTAAGAACAAACTTGGGGGAAACAACTGATCTCTTCACAAGACCCGGCATTCTAGGAAGGGGAAAACGGAGCCAGTTTCGGGAAGCCTGGGCCCCTGCCAAGCCCCGAGCCGCGTTTGACCGGCAGCGCTCACTGCAAGCTCAGCGAGCTCCGTCAGCACAGAGCGGGACGGGAGAAAACCACCCCGACCCCGGGGCCGCCCGTGCCGCCTCACTTCTCCTATTTTCCGGCTCAAATAGGGGGATGCTGCCGGTGCCGGGGTGGGGCCGGCATGGCTGCGTGGGCGGCCCTGCTGCTGGGGGTGCTGCTGGCGACCCACCGCCCCGGGGACGCAGGTGAGGCTCCCCTCGGGCGGGCTTGGGGGGCACATGAGGTTTTCGGGGGTGTTATCCTGCCGCCTCCAGGCTTTAAAGCGGGTGATCCCGGTGAGATGTGGGGGCACACGCATTGCACAGGAAGGGTTTTGGGGACGGCAGTGGGATTTTGGGTGATGGGTGAGCCGCGGCTGCGTGTCCCTCCAGCTCTCCTGGAAGCCAATGGCAACCTGAGCTGCCGCTGCCGCAAAACCACCAGAGCCTTCATCCCTCCGGCGAAATACGACAGCATCGAGGTCCGGCCCGTGGGGAGCAGCTGCCGGCGCCTCGAGGTGGTGTAAGTGTGTGCCGGGAGTTATGAGCCTCCCACTCCCCCCACATTCCCTGAATTACTTCAGTGTCATGCTTATTTTTATGAGAAGGGCGGGGGTTCGGCGGCTCAAAACCCCTCCACTGCAGGAGGGGGAAGTGACGGTGCTGAAAGCCTGTGTGTTTTCTAGGATTAAGCTGAAATCCCTGGAGAAGGTCTGCGTGGATCCTGATACCCCTTGGGTGAAGAAACTCTTGCAGGACCTCCCTCACCTGTAAGACCTCCCCTCCGCTCCCCCTGAGCACACAGGGCTCCTGGCAGGACCACGGGCATCCCGTGGGGACCTGTCTTCACACGTTCCTCCCCTCTTCTGCTTTTGGCAGGAGGAAGAAAGAGCGTCCCCGCTGAGGAAGCTGCCACCGGAGGGACGGCCAGATGTGCTGGGCCCAGAACTGCCTCCCCTCCCCATCCTGCTGCCACTTTACCCCAGTCCTGGGGGAAGCGTCCTCCCGCCTGATCCCCTGAGACCCTTTTCCCTTGGCATTTTATTCCTTTAAACCCTTGACCATGCCAGTCCCTGCCTCCCTCCCCTCCCACCCCGCGGCCATGCGCTGGTGTCCTTTTTGAGCACAAGCCAACAGGTCCAATAAAGGTGGCAGCCCGAGGTTACCGTCCCTTGCATCCCTTCCTGTGGCATTCTGGGGGCTCAGGGGGCAGCAGGGGTATGGGGGCACCAGCCTTTCCCCGAAAACATGGGGCGAGCAGGAGGTTTTAGGAGGCGACCGTGGCGGTTTCCGCCTTTCTCGTGGGCCACGTGCGATGGGGGGGAAGCGAAGGCAGGGAAGTTGAAGTGTGGGGGTATCTCCTTTTTCCTCCCTCTCAGGCCCTTCCCAGCCTGTGAAATCCCCTCAGGGCTGGCTATAAGGCAGCCCCTTCATTGGCTCTGGGCGGGCAGCAAGGATGAGGCTGCTCCTGGCAGCGCTGGCCCTGCTCCTGCTCCTGAGCAACTTGGTGCCTGGGGACAGTGAGTGGCTTTGGGGTGTCTGTGTCCCTCTCTAAATACCTGGATAGTGGCACTGGGTGTCCCAGATGGGGCTGAGTGTGGGCTCTGCTAAGCTTTCAAATTTGTTTCTTGCCTGTCTTTGAGCTTATCTTTCAAATTTGTCTCTCGCCTGCCTTTGAGCTTGAGTTTATCTTTTAAATCCTGTGGCTGAACTGGAGGGGGATGCCTGGGACTGGGGGATTTGTTTCATGCATTTAAGTTGCTTCTCTTCCAGACCCCTGTGAAACATGAGTGCTTGGTGGGTGGGCAGTGGGTTTAATTCATAAAATATTGGTTTAGTTTTCGAACCCTGCTGTTAAACCCCCTCCACACACAGGAAAAGAGGCTGTGCTGGGAGGGATTAGCCTTGCTGCAAACCCCATTAACACCAGCCCATCCCTGCAAGTGACCCCATGAGTGTCTGGGATGGGATGGGATAATGGGGAGTGGAATGTCCCCCCAATCTGTCTCCCCTTTGGGGGGCTGAGAGCTGGTGTGGGCTGCTCTGGGGCGCAGGTCTGTCGCTGGAGAGCCTGCTGACCAACATGAGGTGCAAGTGCATCAAATCGACCGCCCAGGTTATCAACTTGGGACTGATTCTCACCATCGACGTCACGCCGCCTGGTCTGCACTGCCGGAGGAAGGAGATCATGTAAGTGCAAAGTCTGGGAAGCAATTCCTGCAAGTTGTGGGTGCTTGTGTCCTCTCTAAAGCTCCCAAGTGTCGGGGTGACTCTTGCAAGGCGCAGGGCCGCCGCTGCCTGTTTTAAAGGGGGTTCACCCCCGTGTGGCTCTTTTGGGTCACGGCCCAAAAATCCCATCTCCCTGCTGTCCGGGGCGTGCCCATATCCGTGCTGGGGAGTTTTCTCTGTCGGTTGGAAAAGCTTTGGGGAAGGGGCGTGCGAGGAGGCTGAGGGGGTTTTGTGGCCTTGCAGCCTCACCCTGAAGAAAAACAAGAGGGTGTGCGTGGCCCCCGAGGCGCCCTGGATCCAGCTGCTCGTCCACAGGCTGACGCAGAGGTACAAAGCGGGACAAAGCGGCATCTCCAACGCCCTGGCGGGGCGATGCCTTCCTCCTCACCTCTTCCTTCTTTCCGTTTCTTCCCTCCCACCCAACACGCAGGAATGCCGCCAGGAGGGCAGCGGCGGCGCGGCCGCGGCGGGGAGGCTCAGCAGGGGCGCCGTGCCCTTCCTCTCACGGCTCCCGCGCTCCAGCCCCGCCGCCGTCCCCGTCGTGCCAGCCCTGAGGCGCTGAATTCCCGCTGGGACGGCAGCGACACGACCGCTCCGCGCTGAGACACGCCGGGTGTCGCGGCACAACGCTGGCGCTTGCCCTGCTCCCGGGGTTTTGGCAGGGGCGGGAGCCTTTCCCTGCCGCCCGACCAAAAAAAGGCTTTACCCCCCTCAGGCAGCCGGCGTCTCCCTCCGAGTGGTGCGTGCCGCGATATTCCCGCAGGCTACCGCAGCCCAGCCTGGGCACCGTCAATAAATGATCAATGTGCTTCCCCCCATCAGCTGTGGCGGCTCTTCTGCCCGGATTCGTGGAAAAATTGGGATTTTTGGGGCGGGCGGTTCGGGGTTTTGACTACCTCCCTTTTCCCAGCTGCCCGGAGGTTATGGAAAGGCTGGGCTGCTTAGCTCTGGCAGCACTGGGATTCTCCCCAGGCCGGGTCTGTGAGGGGAGCCTGGGTTTCTGCTGTCCCCACTCCATGGGAATCCATGGAATAAGCAACTTTCTCTGTTTTTTTGCTCAGGTCTCAGTTGAAGGCTGTGGCTCTCGCATGTTTGGTGCTGAGGGCTGGTGTCAAACCCGGGGAGACCTATCCTTGTCCCTGTGTCAGGTGGGAACAGCAGCCTCCGAGGGTCCCCCGGATAGGGACGGAGCCGGCAAGGCAACACCACCTCCAGGGCAAGCAGCATTTCCCACCCCAGGGCACTCTCAATTTAAAGCAAAGCTGTTCCTTCCATAAAACAGGGCGTAAATCCCCCTAAAATCGTGGCGTAAGCATGTCCAGGGGTGACACTGCAGCTTCCCCCCTTCCACGGGCACTTCCATCTCTTCAGGGACGGGACCTCATGGGTGCAAAGGCAGCACACAAGAAAGAAATCTGACTAAAAAAAAAACCCCAAGCTCCCAAAATAATTGCTGTGGGATGGTCTCCAAAGAGGATAAGCCCAAGCACTGGGATTACTCTCTTCTTCCTCACTGTCACAGGGAGGGATTGCACCATACCTGGATCTAGAGCTTTATAATCTTCTCCTAAAATTGTTTCTAACCTAAAGTGATGCTTGGCAGAGAGGGTTAAGATGTAAGTGGTTCCCACCAGGTTCTCTTGGGGTTTGTGTCATCTTGGAACACTGAAGGGAAGAGAGAGGGAGGGAGGAAGGGAGAGTCTGTGACCAAACTTGTGTAATCTTAGCAAAAAACTGCATGTACTTTGGGAAGACCCCCCAGAAGAACATCCCACCTCCATGGTGACCAAACAGGACAAGGACCTGCTGCTCTGTGATGCTGATTTTAGCTGAACCACCTCCTGCTGCTCCCGTGTCCCAGCATGCCAGGTAAGGATGTCCTTGAGTCCTTACCAGTCTTTCCCTAAATCACCTTCTGAATTAACTCTGAATTTCCATGCCACTTTCTCCCTGACCAAAACCAACCCCAGATTAGAAAAGGGATCTGAACCTTGGAGGTCTCAATTTCTCACTCACAATTTGTATCCGACATCTCCCCAGCCTGGGTGTGGAAAGCTGGTCTCCAAAAGCCCAATATTTGGGATTAAGTGGGAGCTGCAGATGCTCACCACTTTTGTAAAGTGAAGCTTGAGAGGGCAAATGTGGATTTAGGAGTTGGGAAGGTGGGAGCCCATCAGCCCTCCTAGTGTTACCTGAATGCTGGAGATCACGGTGAAGCTGCCTTCTGGAAAGGGGAAGAGTCCAAGATTTTGGATTTCTAGTCCATAAAACACAAAACAGCTGGGACACTCAGGAAGGAAAGCTTGTCTGGGACCCCACTAGGCCATACCTGGAGAAGGAAAGGTGGTCTGAGACCTCACTGGGCCATCCCTGACTGCTCACACTTGTTCCCGCTCCTTAGAGTGAAAGAAGGAAACAAAAATATTCAGCTGCATTGTACAAAATTCTCTTTTTATATATATATATATATATGTATATATTTACACACACAAAACCCCCATATGGAACAGATTCACCAGGCTGAGTTTTAAAAAGTTGCTTGTAGAAGGGTGTTGGATTTTGTTTTCTCTGCTTGCTTTAGGCAGTGCTGTCGCTTGGAAGTGGACACCAGGCACCGTGTTTTTGAAAGGAAGGAGCAGGGAAAGGCTTGGAGCCTTTTTTCCAGATACTGGCTGCCACATGCTGGGAATTGAGGAGTGGTGATGGAGAGAACAGCTGGGAAAAAAGCACCATCCCCTCACTGCTCCTGCTGGGAAGGGAAAACAGAAGGGAGCTGGACAGGAGAAAGGCAGGTAAACATGTGCATTGACTGAAACATAAACAAGATTTTTTTCTTTTTTGTGCAATGTCTGTTAAAAAAACATTTCTGTGTTAAAAACCACACGGTGTGATGGGTGTTGGGAAGTGCATTTGGCAGCAGAGAAAATCCAATGGAACACCTTCCCGCAGTGGAATACTTCCACCTTTAGAAACCAAAGGAAAATCCAACTTGAGCAGCTCACGTTTGCCAGGGTTTGGGTTTTTTCCATCCCCATCCTCTCCCACCCTGATTATTACAAAACATTGGTGTTGGGTTTGTGTTTTTATTACTAAACTCCTCTGCAGTTCATAGACAACCATGGGTGACTTGGAAATTCCATTTTATACAAACAGCTCAAAAAATACTGGGAGTGAAGTATGGTGGGAAACACTGCTCATGTTGGGAGTTACCGCACGTGGAGGAACAGGAGGAGCAGGTCAGTGCACACCTCCAGAGAAAAGCACACCCCCCCTTCCCAAAAAAACATACAGCAGCTGGTTACGGAAAGGTAATGTCCACAGAATTAAGTTTTTCATGCTATTCTACTTTCCAGTACTCTCAAAGCCATGTGCCATAGCCAGGTGGGGAAGGCTGAGGTATATTCAGAGATATCTGCACCCAGAGGAAAATCAATCTCTGTAAAGGGCTTTTTTTTTTTTTTTTGGTTTTGGGGTTGTTGTTGTGTTTGTTTTTTTTTTTTGCACAAATCAGGTGCCACACAGGAATTTTCCCCAGCTCCCATTGCTTCCAATTGATCACAGACCACTAATGATGCCTCCGTTTTTTAGGCACTTCTTTTCCAAGGGAAAAGTTGTCGTTTGATTGAACCCATTTTTGCATTCTGGCCCACCCCACCCCCTCCCCAACCTCCAACCAGAGTCAGGGAACAGTTTCTCCTCTAAGTCTAATTGGGGTCTTTTTTTCCCCCCTATGGATAATATCCACAACAAAGGAAATGTTTAATTAAAGAGAAACAGCCTGGCTTGGCAGTTTTGCAAGACAGAAGATGGCTCCTTAGTATTTAAAACTAATTTCACAATTTAAATTGGACTTTTTTTTTTTTTAAAGTATACGAATGAGACATAAATATAGGCTTATCAATCTGCTTAAAAATTTCATTCACATCATGGAAAATGTTTTTCATTTATTAAAAATATCACATTTGGAGACTAGAAACAGTAAAGTGCATGAAAAGTTTCAAATAGAAATTCAAGAAAATCTTATAGCAGCAAAAAAGCAGAATAAAGAAAAACTTAAAAACACAGACACGACCTTTTCCTATCACTGTGCCTTTTTTTTTTTTTAAACATTAAGCAGCCAAACAGGTTTGTGTTTTGTTTTGTTTTGTTTTTTTCAGAAAATTGCATCATGTTTAACACCTCTTCAGGCACAAGGTTTTGAACTGGCCACCCAGAGCATTAAAAGGAAGGAAAAAAGGATTTCCAACACATCCAAAGAGCATTAACAGTTGGGAAGGAACCAGCAGCTTTTTAATTCAACCCTGACCGACAACAGCTCCCAAATAAATTGGCATCAGGAGGATGTAGAGCTCGAATTTGATCACAGATATTTGGCTATCTTTGGTTTTCTGATAGTAGTGAGACGAGGGGCAGGGCCACGCCGCCAATCATTTATAGTCATGTATTAAGTGCTTCACTAATGTGCAAATTTTATGTTGGATGCAGAGTTCGGTCTCTGTTTTGGGTTCAAACAAACAGTATTTCTAATATTCTTCCTACAAAACAAGCATCTCTAGTTTTGCTTTTCTTTGTCTGAAAAGGTTGGCTCATTTCGCCACGTTCTGGAAAAAAGCATTACCTTGAAATATGTTAAATGCCAAGTTATTAATCTCATTTGTCCGTTTAGAAGTGCAGCTTCCTACTGAAAAGAAAAAGCCAGTTTAAAATAAAATAAAAAAAAAAACCCAAACAACCCAAAACAAAAAATTAAATTAAAAACCTGGAAAGGGGAATAATACTTTGGTTCCAGCCCTAGTGCCAAATGATACCAATATGCACCAAAATGTGCAAAAATCTCATATCAAACACATAAGGAAAAAGGAGCTCGAAGCAGCAGCTTAAGGTTGGCCATACTTCACTCCTATATACTTGGATTTACAACTGTACAGGTCCGTGGGAACAGGTCCGTGCCCTTCCAGGGGCAGGGCGGCACTACCTCCGGCTCGGGAGGTGCACCCCGTTGACGAGAGGCAGGAGTGGAGGGTGGAGTTCCAGCTGGGTGAGCAGGGAGAAGTGGTCGGAGGGGATGTGGGGGTGTGGGCACCCAGTGATGTTGTTGTCCACCAGCCACTGAGGGTCCAAAGGCCCCAGGACTCCGAGCACGTTCATGTGGGTGTTGGAGTAGAAAATGTAGTCAATCACACCCTGCGGAGAGAGGGAGAGACACCGGCGTGAGAACGGGGACTGGCGAGAGGCACCGCCCTGGGACTGAGGTAAGACATCCATTCCCATTAAACCACTGGCCATAGCCAGGCTGGAAGCTCAAAAATTCCAGGAAACCATAAAGCTGCGAGCGGCAGGAACAGCACGAGTAGGAAGCAGCAACGAAGCGCTTACAGGGGCTGAGGGAAAGACACCCAAGGGCCAGGGAATTAAGACAAATCGCTGCTTACTTTGAAATCAAAAGTGTAATTGGTGTAAGGCATCAAGTTGTTCTCGTAGGCGCTCTTGAGCTGGAAGCCGTGCGTGATCCTGCCTTCGGAAGCTCCGTTCTTCCCGTTCCCACTGAAGTTCATGAGACACTCGTTGTAACGCAGCTCCTTGAAGTCCTTGTGGTTGTCAGCCACTATGCCGTTGCTTAAGTATTCCACCACACCTGTTGGCAAGGGGATTTAGGGACACAGGGAATGTTGGCCTCAGAGTTAAAAGCCAAAACACCACTAAGACATGTCAGGACATTGGAAAAGATGTTAACTAGCAAAGAAAAGCCCTCTCCTTAGGAAGTTTTTATCAGGAACTCGCACGTTTCCTACTTGTTATTGCTTCTCCAGGCACGGGGATTTATTTAATGATTTATTTAAGATCTATTTGTGCTTTCCTACCCTTTTGTGGGTACCACCAGCTTTCCTGGAGCATAGAGCCGACTACAGAAAGCAGGTGACTCAACCAGAGGACTCACAGTCTCTCTATTCAGATTCCAAAGACAGCTGTTCCTAGGGGAGCTTTCATCCATACCTACCCAGGGAAGTGGAAACCGCCCCGTCACCCTCAGAGGAAAACGAGGATTCAAACGCTCTAAAAGGCAAGTTAAAAATGAAGGTGAGTGTTACCTGAATCAGGCAGGGAGTTGAGATCCGCACACAGCACCAGAGGGATGGAGTTCAGATCTGCTGTCGGGCTGCTGGGCCTGCTCGAGGCTTTCTCCAGGATGTTTTTCAGTTCCGAGACAAACATCATGGTCTGGATGAGTTTCACATCTGAGTACTCGGGGTCCCAGTGCATGTGGGCATTGGCCACGATGAGCAGCTGCTTGTCCACGTGAAGCGATTTCATACCTGGACAGACAGGTACAATTCTGGCAGTGAAAGGTTGCTCCCACCTGTTAATCCTCGGGGTGTAGCTACTCAGGGCTCAGTGTCAGACACACCATCAGATGGATGTGTTTTCATTGCTCAAACCTGCTGATATGCCTGCAGAATGTACCTGGGTGCGAAACACTGTCGCTGTTTTTACTGTTTACCTGAGCTGCAAGGTGGGGCACAAAGTCCCAGGCAGCTCCTTCCAGGCCTGGAATTTAGCTGTTCTCTTCCTTTGAAGCCATCAAACCCCAGCCACGCAGACAGAGCAGGGTGGCAATTTTATCTATGTTGGAATTGTCTGCTGCATCTTGATCAAACTTAATGAAAATGTGACAGTCAGTCAATCAAGAGGCAGGAAAAGATACCTGATAATCTCCTTCTTCCACATCAGTATGTTAGCACTGACATCTAATTACTGGGGGAGGGTGGAAGGAGTCAATCAAGGGGAGAAAAAAGAGGGTTGAAAATAGAAGTTGAACATTATTGTCAACCACCGGTAAGAGCAAATGTGTGTAAATACAGTGGCCTTGGGAAAGCTGAGTTGTTCAAGCAGAATTTAACAAAGTAAGGAGGGACAAAAGCTTGGGAATAGTATTCTAGGAGATGGATTTACTAGAAGTAACTCGTGCCTTTCCGTGGAACCGAATAACCCCTGGAAACACCACCACGGCCATACTCACTTGCTCCAAATAATTCCTTGTGCACCTCCAGCACCACGGCGACTCCGATGTTGTCCTTGGTCATCACTCTGTTCAACATGGCTTCCGAACCTTCCGAGTTGGCCATGGCCACCTGGTTGAACTCCACCGTGTGCTTCTGCACCAGCGTGAACCTGAGCCAACACAGGGAACCACCTGTCAGCAGGGGTGACCCACAGCCCCCGTGGTGCCACCGTGTGAAACCCACCACTTGTCTGTTCTCACAGCCCTCCCTCCGTCCCAAACCACTCCAGCTGTTTCTAGACGTGATCCGAAAGGTGTATTTTTGCTTCCGGAAACAGCGAAAACTCCCAAAGGGAGCTCAGGCTTTGGGAGACTTCATCCTAATCACTGAGAACTGTTCTGAGGTTTGAACTGTTTTTAAAAAGCTGCTCCTGCCCTTTACTTTTCAGTTTTGAAGAATATGGCGCAGCCATCCACATGCTTTTTCTCCTGCTCGGACATGATTTTGGCACGTGACTTCGGAGAAAAGAATCCGTCGTATCCCCGTTCCTTCAAGGCTGGCAGAAAAAGGGTGAAGTATTGCTCTGTTTCCACTTCCTGGAATTGAACACAAACACCTCAGGCTGAGAAGTGAAGGGGAACCCTTCCACGTGCCCACCTTGGCTTGCGGTCAGGAGCTCCCACCGGAGCGAAGAGCTGCTGTTTGCACAAGCCATGTCACTCCCTACACTGGGAGTGCTTCCTGCTGGGAACTTGTCTGCATCCCTGGACACCCTGGGATCCCTCCCAAAGGTGAAGTGAGAGGTGTCTTTGGAATAGCAGGAGATTACACCTGGTATTTTTGACACTGGAATGCAGACACCGTCCTGAGTTAACATCTGGGAGAGGCTGACAGATATCCAGGAGGGACTGATATTTCACCTGGGAGCCCTTCGGCACAACGGTCTCTCACCGCTCTGGAACGAGACCTTCTCTTTGTGGTAACATTTGGGCTCCCAGAGGATTTCAGAGGTTGATCCCACAAGCACAGAGCTTGTATTGGGAAGCCCTGGAATTTGGTATCCAGCAGGTGACTATGATGTTCTCAAGGGAACGCTTAATTCTAATTTAATGAACATTTAATTCATGTTTTCTGCTGCTGATGGAAAATGCAGTTATTTTCCAGTTACCTGAAGACTAATGATATCTGCATCACAGTTGACGATTTCTTCCATGATTCCCTTTTTCCTGTACTCCCAGTTGAGTGCCCAGGATGGGCAGTAGCCATAGAGCTGCCGGGTGGCGTATTTATCACACAACACATTGTAACACATAACTGTAAATGAAGCTGGAGGGAAAGGAAGAAAGAAAGGGAAAGGTTATCAACCTCTGAAAATTACAATTATGAACTCTTTCGCTTGGGCAAGAGTGGTTGGAAGAGTTATGACAAAGCCTAGTACAGAAAAGAAATACCAGCATCCCAGTCAAATGACAAAAATTGTATTTACAGCACAGCCATACGTTAATTGTTCCAGCACAAATGAACACAAATTGCTGTTTTCACTCTGATCCAGGAAAATGAAGCCCAAGGCGAGTTTTTCAGTGTGGTGTTGTGTGAACACAGGAGTAAGAACCACAGAGTTACCTGAGGGCAGAATTTGGTCTCGTTCTTTTAAAGTAATCCATGGCCTTGGAGGCAGCTGCTCTGGATGAACTACAAAAAAAATTAAAGCAGTGATTAATTCAGGGTTTCTGTTTGTAAGTTGTAATTTTTAAGTCAAAATGTGACTGAACAGTAATGTGCTTTGTACCCCCAACTCCCCGAGTCTTTTTATGCTCCAGGGGAGGTGAAAATCATTTAAATGACTCTAGTAAGAGAAAAATTGTCAGTTGTAAGATTCATGACTGGTTTTGTCTCTTTTTTTCAGATTTAGAAGCACCACCGAAATATTCCTGCAGCTTGAATAATCTCCTTAAGAAGGAGGGGTAAATCCTGGTGTGCTTCAGACATCCCTTCTCCAAGAACCTTGCCCTATATCCATCATCCCTGCAGCTGGGGGACATCAAGTGGCAAAGCAGAAGGCCCAGTCACAGAACCAGAGAGCAGGATTTAAGTCAGGTACTGGATGTTAATGGCTTTGGTGTTTCTCAATCTAAATTTGACATTCTGTGTGCATTCAGATGATCACTTTTAGGGGGAACTACCAAAACGGCTTCAGCAAAGAAAACTTTGCACTGGGTTGGTAACTGAAGGGTTTCAAGCAGAAACCAGTGGGAGCAGCTGGCTGTAACACGGGAGAAGCTCAGAAAATCCATGCCAGCCTCTTGCAGGGTGTGTGAGGGTGTGTTTGTGGGCATGACTGGAGCCAACTGACAAGAACGCTAAAGCAGGTAGGAAACACTGCAGTGGATCAGAATCTTGTTTTAGCAGCAAACTCTACTTTTAAATCCCCCTTGTCCACCAGATCTGTAGGGGCTGTACCTGCTAGATTGTCAAGCATGTAGTTCAGTAGCTTTCGGGTTCCGTCTGGATCCTGGTAGAGGCTGAGAATATCTTGGGATAAAGGATTGCCTGCCAACAGCAGAAAACAGCAGCGGGGTGATGAGTGTAATATCTCACATGAACTGTCAAAAAGCCTCGAGGTGACAGACAAAGCTTTTGAGCCCAGACCCCTCAGGAATTCCTGAGTACTTGTAGGATTATGGAACTGGAAGGAGCTCACCTTTCAAACCCAGGGTTTGTAGCTGGAAGAGCCGTCCAAGTTCATAAGGCAAAACCCGTAACAGATTGTTATTTAAAAGCAATTCCCTGCAGCAAATGCAAAAACACTTTGGGTGAGTATCACTGCACAAGAAAACTCCTGATGCACTGTACGCTGCTCATCTTCGAAGAGGACATTTTTCACCCTGAATTTATTATGGAAAGATATGCCAATCTTCCTGTGTCAAAGTACAGGGGAAATACACTCATTAGGGGGGGAAAAAAAAAAGCCACAAAACCTGCAAAACACAAAATGAAACCAAGGAGAATTTAAACTGCAGGCAATCACCAAGCCTCAAAGAATGTTTCAGAGCAGAAGACTTACAGTGATACAGAAGACTTACAGCTTACAGTGATGTATCAGTGATCAGAAAAGAAGGGCAGTGAAGCCAAAAGTAATTACTAGAACTGAAGCTCTGCACCAATCTGGAATTTTTCAGGATTGTTTGGAACACAAGAACAGAAAGCAAACTGAAATTCTCGCTCCCGATCCCATGATACAAAATTTTGAGAGGTCAACCGGAATAACTCCTCTCACCTGAGAGACACCATGTTTCCTAGTTCTGCTGGTAAACTTCTGAGTTTGTTGGATGACAGATCCAGGTAAACCAGATTGTGGAGCTTGGCAATATCAGGTGGAATGCGAGTAAGATTGTTGTCATTGAGGTGCAGAGCCGTCAGGTGCGTCAGCGACCAGAGCGACGAACTTAAGCTCCGCACTCTGCCTGGAAGAGAAGAGCAAGGAACCACCCCTTCACTCTGGAACCATCGGATACAAACTGCAGGGGACGTCAGAATGATGAGATTTCCAGTCTGGAAGTCCAGTGCCCCTCTTCCTCCCCCAGAAAAACCACGTTCACAACAGGATGCCCTGTCTGGAAGCGTCTGCTGTGATCTGGGGCAGCAACAACCGGAATTCAAACCCAAACCAACTCACCTGAGATCTCCAACTCAGCCCAGTGTGACTTCTTCCCGTTGGCTACCTCTTCTGCTGACATGATGGTGTAAATTCTGCGAGGATCTGGAGGATCATATTTTTCCTTTGGCATCCCTGTTAGTCTGAAAGACCACCACAAGCGTTACCATCTGCCACTCGACAGCGCTCCTTCATCGCCCTGCCCCGGGGACACTCGGCAATAACACGTCCTGGAGTTCATGTCTCATGTTCGTTAGCTCCCTTTTCCCATTAACTATCCAGCTTTTCTCTTTTGTGCTTCTTCGTGTTTGGGATCAGCCAAGACCTTTCCACTCCTAATGACCCAGGAGCTCAGGTAAAGTTCTTGTTAGTTCTGGGCACACGGGGCTCCAGCCCAGTGCAAAACAGGAATATCAGATGCACTCATGTCCTAAGGGTACACCAAATTCATCCCATCTCATTGTCCTGACTCTAGTCAGAAGGGAGCTCCAATGTCCCACTCAAAAATATCAGGAGAGATTTTCTTCCTATACCTCCCCAGACCGTTGTGCTGAGCAGGACTGGGTGTGTTTGGTTATAAAACACAAGCTTAGGAGAGTTTGCTGTTTCCTGGTCTTTTCTTCCCCAGACACACAAAATCCACAAGCCTCGATTTTACACAAATCCAAAGCAGCTGCTCCACAGGATGCAGCTTTTCCCCCACACCTCTCCTACAACTGGCTGCAATAGCTGTGAAGCTCTTAAAACAGCTACATTTGAGGAAACAAGCTGAGGTTTTTTTCAGCAAGTCCAACTAAAGAGACATCCCACAGACCCTTTACGAGCGTACAGCACTGCAGTTTGTTCCAGCTGACGCAGGCAGCCGAAGCCGCGCTCCGGCATCGCACGGCAGCGGGAGCTGGCAGGGCTGTCCCCTGAGAAGGGTCTTGGTTACAGGTCTGCTGCTTCCTTCCCGAATGCCCAGGGAAATTCCAGGGGCAAATGCGAGCCCCACATCTAATTATAGCCCCCTGCTATTTCCAGGTGAAGTCACACGGCGAGGAGAGCCACGGGATAAGAGGATTCTGCGCTCACACCGCCCGGAGCGGGGCCGTGAATGAACGGGTTACTTAAGGACAAGGGATTAGACCCGAAATCCTTCTCTCCTCGTCCCAGAACCCCAAAATCAAACAACACAAACAGGCCTTTCCCAACACAAACAGGCTGTGCCTTGGGAGTGCTAAATCTCTGGTGCTTGGGTTTTGCTGGATTTATCTTCACTCTTCAACAAGTGCATGTGCAGAAGAGGGGAGCACTTGAACAGATTTCTAAGGGGAAATGCAAAAGCTCTGAGGGGGAAAATGGAGCAGAAAGTCAGCAAAGGGTTTATGGCAGAAGGGAGCTTTTACAATCTCTGTGTCTTAATCATCAAACATTTGAACTGATCCAGGTGGGTCTTAGTTTTGCTGTTTAATCTGTCACACTCGAAACAATCTGTACTTTAGCACATCTGGACCCAGGGCATGGCAAACTTTGCTGTCCAGCTCCCAGGATCTGGGCAAGTGCTGCGTGGTGGAAGTCCCTAAACCCACGGTGGTGAGACCATCTGAGTCACCCAGTGCTCACGCCCAGCAGCCCAGAGATGAGCACTGCCCAGGTGACACCATCCGAAAGCTCCGGGACTGCAGTTTCCTCCCTGGCAGGGCACCCAATTAAATTATGTTGAAGTATCACTCATTAAGACAAGTGCTCTGCCAATTCAGAGTGATTTGTGGCTGTCAGAGGCCTTCCAAAGAAATGAGCCCTGAGCTGTGAGGCAAAGACACGCACATTTTTCAGCTGTTACTCACTTTAATATGGCTTTGAAATCGCAGTGAGTCAAACAGGCAGCAGTGTCATTGCCACAGTTACAGAAAAGGGAAAACAAACCTGAATCAAATATACTTTTTTTTTTCTTCTACATAACAGCAACATTGAGCAAGACTTGAAAGCCACTATGTGTATTTCTTTTTTTAGGCAAAAAACGAATTTCGCCTCGTTCCCATCTCCCACCCTGCTTGTCCTGGAACTAAAACAATATCCAGAAATCCCAGCCTGCTTTTGCTCAGTCTTCAGGGAGCTACACTGAGTTCCCTGAATCAGTTAATCCCAAAATCAGATGCGCATGAGTGCAAATTTTCGCTGGCTTTTCTTCTAAAGGCTCGCCTTGGAAAACTTCAGATTCTAAAACCTGCTCTCTGCTACAGATCTAGTCATGTAAACGTATAGTGTGACCCTGATTTCGTGTAAATCAAACACAAAATCTCTTTCTGATTTTGTGTAAATTAAAGAAAACCTGAAGTTGACAACACCGGTGCATTAGTAAGAACAATATTTAAGCTCTGGGGGTTCCTAACATAAGTCTTTGGGTCCAAGTCCATCCCCAAAAACCTGAAGCTCGCTGGCAGAGCAGGATTACTAAGTGTGGTCCCAGGTGAGCTTAAGCAGCCCTATCTTAGGTGTATATAAGAAGGGCCAGGGGCAGGTCCTGGGTTTGCCAGCAGTAGGCCTGTGCCCGCTTTTTTTTTTTGACTTCTGTTTTTTTTATGCTGTTTTACTGACTGCTTTTTTTGTGTATGGCCCACGCTGACTATCATTTAAAGCCTGGAAAAAAAAAAGGCATAATGGAACAGTACTGAAGGTGTGGAGCGTCAAAGAAGAAAGGCTGAGCTGCGAGGCTGCACCACAGGCTTTTTAATCTGAAGGTATGTTTTTCTGGGCAACAAACAACAGGAGCTTCTGGGTTTCAGACAAGCAGTCCCTTCCCCAGGGAGGGTAGAGGATGCATTTCTTAAATTACAGTGACTACAACGCGTTTTGTTTAAGCTCTTTCATACCTCAATGCATAAATGAATTGCCTGTCTCTAACGAGGAAGCAAATGGAAAAGAGCTGTGGCTGCATCTCCCTGCAGCCCTGTGCTCACGGATGTCTGGAACAACTCCAAACCCTCCCTCCAGCAGAGTGACATTCTTTGTGATCCTTTTTTTTTTTTTTTTTTTTCCCCAGCCTCTGTATATGGATGAGTCAAAGTGCTGAAGCATTTTGAAAACTATGCAGCAGACAGCCCTGAATCACTCCTCCTTCCTCTGCGCCGGCCAGCCCCTTCCATAGGGTGAGCCCTGCCAGGAATCACCGGTGCTGACGGGGCGGGAGCGTGTGCGTGTGTGTACACACGGGCACGTGTTGTTTAACGCCGGGAAGTCGGACTGGGAGCCGGAAAACATTTTTATCTGTTGATCTATGATGTGAATATCTGTTTACGTATTTTGTAAGCAGGCCCGAACGGCTGCAGAGGGAGAGGAGAAAGGCTCTTGTCTGCACTAAGAGTGCTCTGCTTTCAGGAGTGTGTGACAAAAGTCTCCCCGTTCTGGCCTCCCTAAGGAGCTGAGAAGCACAGCCAATACCCACTAATACAAAAACTGGCTTAAGTACTCTGGGAGGGGGGAAGGAAAATCAGGAAAATAAGGTCTTTTTTTTTAAGGGTATGTTAGGGGGATTTTAAAAAACACTAGTAATAGTGGGATATGTATAGATGTGTTAGCTTAAGGTAAACTACTTTGTATATCCATATATATGGTATCTACTGTGCATATACCAGCAGGAAAATATTGAGGAGTGGGGAATTTTGATAGCCTTTTGCTTGGATCTGAGCCTTCTTCATGGTTCTTCCCTGCAGGAATGTGTCCAGCCACCTCTGTGTCCGCTGTCTCTATCAAGAGCCCAACGAGCACCCAGAGTGTACCATCCCAGGTAACTCTCTCTTTTCAGTTTCTTATTCCAAGTAACCTGTTTGGGAGCAAAGATTAGCAGGGAAACAAATACAAATGCCTCCTCGTGGGTTTTAAATAAAAAAAAAAAAACCAAAAACAATTTCTGAGGAGATTTCAAACGATCTTAGAGGAAAGTATAATCAAAGTACATAAATAGAGACTCCTTGGCCATGAGTAAGTATCCTACAAACAGGAAGAGAGTTAAACATCTTTGCAACCCTCAGGTTCAGCCTTTCAGTTCCTTAACTTGAAGCTTTTGGGGATCTCTGTACTGGTGCTGATAGGATGGAGAGCTGTTCCTCTCAGGTGTAATTGGCCAGGATGTTTGTGCTGGGAAGGAGAAGGGAACAGACTCAATCCTCTCTGGCACAGAGCACAGGGAAATAAAAGTTGGTGGTGGGAACAGGGACAGGTAAGAGGTAACCATGAACCTGCAGCTGGCAGTAAATTCAGCAGTGGTGGGATCTCAGGGGGCTTCCTGTTATCACTCCAACAAAGACCATAAAAGGCCAGAGAAACAGAGCAGTCATAGAAGCAAACCCTGGAGAAAACCATTAAAAGCCAAGGGGAGGAGCGGGAAGGGAGGGAACGAGCTGTATTTGATTAATTCTAGAGCCAACTGGCACACACTTGATGGAAATGTTAATTGTCCTACTGACATATACCCACTAGTTATTCCCCCCTTTCCTCATCTCCTCTAAATGAAGCACAGACTCTTTTCTTAAATCACAGGTAACATAAGAATATCCAGGTTTCCACCCTTCCTCTTCCTCCGTGTCACACCCCCACTTATAAGAACAGCTGAACTATTTACTGCATGGCAATACTAAATAGCATTACGTAGGGAATTTTTATTTCTGTACTTAGTTAACATTCAGTTTTCACTCCAAAAGAACAGTTTCTGCTCTGCTGGAAGTAGCCAGTTACCTCTCATTGTGTGCGTGGCAGCTCCTGAATATCTGCACCGAGTCACAGAGTGATACCTGCCTTTGTCTGCAGATGCCTTTTATACTTTTATGCTTTCAGAGGAGCTCTTGGGGCTGGTTTACATGCAAACACGGGGCAGGTCACTCCCAAAAAGTAAGGCTCTGCTTAACAGAAATGCTGACAAGGGGCTATTATAGAGCAAGAAGCGTTTCAACAGCCAGCCTGTAAATAAATCTAATCAGAAGCCCCCAAAGGGCTGGTTTAAATAGTATATTTATTTATTTACACGAGTATCTCGCAGTGTTCCAGAGAAATGACCCATTTGCAATGCTGCTCCAGCCCCTGGAGAGTGCTGGGCTTCTAATGAGATCCAGGACAGAGTGGCTTAAAGGATTAGGAACTGAAGTCACTGGGAGCGTGGGGAGGGAAGCAGCCAGTGCCGGATCAAGACAAAAACGCTGTCCTGGGCTGTGGGCACGGGGCAGAGCTTAAAGCGGGTTTTCCTAGGACTGGTTTGACAGCCAGAGGACTGGGGAGACAGAAAACTCCCAGCGGCCAGAGCAGAGTAAACTCCAAAGTGTTGATGTGTGTGAAAGTCCCTCGGAGCCGTGAGGGAAAGAGCTGCTTTATTGACAAGCCTGATCCGACAGCCATTCAGTCACCGCTTAGGAATGACAAAGACCCTGCTCAGGTTGCTGCCAGCCAACACCTTGTCTCATTCAACTCCTCGGGATCAATAACTGGAGAGGAGTCAGCTATCGACCTATTTTTTGAGGGAAAACTCCACCGGAATCATGAATCGGTAAACGGGGAGCGGCCTTCTCAATGAACCTTTCTTTAAAATACAGCTGGAATCATCAATAACCTTTCATCCCTCAAAGAAAAGTTTGTGCTAGGAGAAAAGAAATGAGATTATTTCCACGGCCACGACGTTATATTCCCCTTTCAGTGGGAGGCTGCCAGCACTTTCACAAAATAAGCAAAGCCCAGCAACACTTCAGCTACTCTCCCTCCACGATTGAGAGATAAGGCCCGGCTTATCACCCACAATCTATTCTTCCCAGCAATAATTAACAGCCTGCCACCATAAAAACTCACTGCAGACAGCTTTAAAGTTACAAGGCCTGCCCTGTTCAGCTACAGGTAGGTTTGGATGAGTCAAGATTTTAAAAGAAAGGAAGACAAAGGAAAAAAACCCAAAGGAAAATGTACACACCAATAGTGGAAACTGTTTTGCAATCGTTGGCACAAGAAATGAGCCCAGTTTGAACAGGCCACAGGATGCTGCCCCAGTGCTCAAAGTAGCTGGGCTTGTATGCTCAGGATAAGAGGGAAGGGATCTGTTTAAAACAAAGTAGTTTATAGGTATAAACCCTGTTCTGCATAGGGTATATTTAAATGTACTTTGCTTTTTAAATCCAGGAAGTAAAAAAAGCTTGTCTGATAGCCTGAGCAAAGCATATTATTTGGATATCGAAAGACTGTTCAGCTGCTTCTGTATCTGATGATCCCAATCTTTCCCACGAGCATCTACACCATACTTAAACTCCCAAATAGAATCACAGACTGGTTTGGGCTCCAAGCCCCTTCCATCCTGGCCTTGGACACTTCCAGGGATGGGGCAGACACAGCTTCTCTGAGCAACCTGTGCCAGAAGAGATGTTGAACCTGTGTGGGTTCCTCTGTTCGGCCACTCAAAGGGATTTCACCTAAAGCCACGAAAAAACTTTGGCAAGTTTTGCTGAAGGTTTTCAAGCAGGTTGGTTTTCTGATATTTCTCAATATACTGGCAGGTGAGAAGTTAATTGCAGAGTTCTCTGAAAGGAAGTTAAAGAAGAGAAATACAGTCCAAGCCATCCTGCTTTAGAGAAATGGAGTGTAGAACAAGAGCACAGACCCAGTGGTACGTGCAAGAGGCAGGTATGGATTCAGGAATGCTGAAGCCTTGTTGACAGCTTCAGGTTTTAAACCACATAATTTTCCAAGTAGAAAATGCCTGTGAGTTATACTCATCTCCCCCACGTACATGTCCAGGGTTGTTTTGTCCAGACCTGCCATGAAATAAATGGCCAGTGATTTAAAACTGAACTATTCCACCTGCCCAGACAGTACCTGGAAGCAAGCAGAAAAACACCTCGCAGTTCAGCACAGGACTAGTCTCAAACCTCCCGGTCTCAGAATACTTAATAGATGTGCTTCTCTCGCCCACTCAAAATATTCCTAATTTGTCTGGTGAACTCCACTCCCTCACAGCCTTTTGCTGGAGACTAAGGAGGAGAAGGAAGAGGCTCCTTGCACAGGTACAAACATGTGCCTGCAGACGGAACTGCTCCCAGTGGTAAAATGCAGTTTGGCCGGAGGAAGAACTGCAAGCCAAGGGCCAGCTGACAATGGGAACCCGGCTCTTCCTGGCACCTGGGACTGTGTTCTGGTATGTGAGAAGTCATCTGGCCCCGCTCTCCTTTTGCTTTCTTAACTTTCCAAAACAAAAAGGGATTCAGAGGAAAGGCGTTCACAAGTGGAAATTTCGGCGGGGCGGGGAATTCATCCTGTGCTGGCTCCTTCCAGGGCCAGCTGGAAATCAGCGGGGCAGAAGAAAGAGAAATTGAGTTTTAAGCTATAGAGGAAGCAGGAGCAAGTTTGCTGGAACTCCTCTCAGTACTGCCCCGATGGGCTTTTTCCTGCCCGGTGCTGCAAGTTCCACAAGGCCCAGAAAATGTGGAAAGGAGTGTTTTCTTTTACCTGGAGAGGGCAGGGACTGAGCAGTGCATTCCAATACGTGCTCCAACAAGGAGAGAGCGAACCAGCTCTTTGGAAAGGCCAAGAAAGGCTGGCAGTTCCACAGGGCTGGCAGTGGTTCCTGTCTGTGCTGATCCCCATGGATGACTGGGTGACACCTTCACATTTCCTTGTGAGAGTTTAAATTCTGCTCCAGCTCCCAGCCTGGAGCAGGGAGAAGAGCAAAGGATATTCTCCACGTGGAAAAAAGAAAAGCTAAACACCTGCAGAAGCAAGTCTTCAGCGCTCTCTCTAGATTGTTCCTAAAGCCAAGCCAGAGCCTTTTGAGAGGGCCTTTAGATTGATTTCTTGGGAAGGGGAAAAAAAAAAAAGAAAGCAAAACTAATTTGTGATTAGAAGGCACAAAGATGTTCACTCAGATGGAAGCATTCCTGAAAAGCGAGGGGGAAACTCATTCATTCAGCTGCCCTAGAGGGTAAACAGTGAACTTGAGCACCATCCACAAATCCCGACCAAAAGCTTATGGTTTTTGTAGTTCTCTTTGTACTTGTGAAATCTGATGGACTGAAAAAAAAATACGTTTGACACCAAAGCAAAGAGGGGGGTCCCTCTGCAGCAACACGAGGCTAAACATTCCTCCCTCTCCTGCACTTTGTGGAGCTGCCTCAGCCCAAAAATATTTTTTGGCCTTTACAAAAAGCATTTCAGATGTTTAATTGGGTCTTTACTTTCAAGCAGTTGGAAGCAGCAGTCCGGGGAGCTGCTGACTTGTAGCAGCAACTGTGGATGAAGGATCCTTAATCGGGAGCTTTGGTTCGTATTCCCATTTCCAACACAGCCTCCAGAGACCACGGGTGTGTGCATAACTTGGGAAGAGGAAAGGCTCCACAGGTAAATCATAAATGCCATTAACCACTTACATCAGGAAATGCCAAAGCAGGGGTGGACACACACACAGAGCCTTATCTGCTCCTTGTTTACAGGTGCAGGTTACAAGGTGAAGTTAAACTACTGGTGTGCGAGACACCCGACAGCTCAGGGGGGCTCTGTCCCATTCCTTGCTGCAGCTTCCAAAATCCCTCTGTTCACTCACTGCACCTGAGCTGTGCTACAACTGCTTGGAGATGATTTTTCTTCGCCTTGGAGCATTTTTCTGAGCAATGGTCTAACTTCTCCCCTTGAGAGGGATAAAATGTGTTCCTTGTAGAACACCATATAGTGTATTTCTGCCTATCTTTAATCCCATTTCAGTGACCACTTGTCAAACTGCTTTCTGGTGGTGTCTGAACACTCCTGAAGTTGCTTTTTGGGTGATGCCCAAGAAACTGCAAAGCTTTTTCTTCTAACCAGGGCTCCAGAGAGATTTTCTTCCACTGCTCTCTGTTATTCAGAGTAAGTTCAGCTTGGGTTGAGGAGTTTTTTTGGGGTAGAGTGGGGTGGATTTTTTTTCTTCTTCTCAACTCTCCTCATACAAGCCTTTTATGACACAGAAGGAGAGCAGCAGAATTCCAGAACTATTGTCACCACCTAAAGATCTTGATAAAGAAACACCCTAAAACAGTCTCTTTTTTTTTTTTTTTTTTTTTATCATTACAGGTGAGATGGAGAAGCTGCACAGCCAAATCACTGAAACCCAAAGAATTAATCAGGTGAAGTTACACTGTGAGCAGCACCCAAGCCTTGATTACAGCCTGTCATCAAGGAAACCACAGAACTTGGACAAAAAAAAAATATTACAAGAGGCTTAGCATTTAATGCTCTAAAGTAGTAAATCCACAGCAAATCCTCCTGAATCTAAATATGCCTAAGACATATTTTAACTTATTTTTTAAAGTTTTCTCGAATGCCATCTTACACTCCCAAACTAAGCTCCACTGTTGCTTTTGCTTTCTCAGTAGTATGCAAATCGGGTTACATCCCATGCCTCGAGTGCCCTTTTGGCATCCCAAAAGCTCCTTCCAATAAACAGTAAGCAAACCATTTATTTGGATTTATCTCTCTTTTTAAACTCAAGTAACCTGCAAGTGTCTTCTGATAATTTTTTAGAATTTTTGGGGGGCAGTTCAAAAAGGTTTGCTTAGATATTATGCATGTTACAGATACATAATTTTACCCCTTAAAACCAGAATGACCTCCTGCAGGTTTTAGTAACAAAAAAAAAAAAAGAAATACACCTCCCCACTTGTGCACATTGAGTCTGAACAGAAAAGTCAGCAGTTGCTGTGATCTACCTAAATGTAAGTTTTAATTCTTGGTGGTTTAGATTTAAATTAAGTAGAGACTTACCCAGTGTGGAAATTAATTAATTTTTCTCCACTGGTGCCTTTTCATTTTCCTACCAGAGTCCACATGCACCTTGGGATCACCTTCTGGCTTATTTCTCCTAAGACTGGTGTGAAAGCTCAACTTGGTCAAAAGCCTGCCTGGGTTTTTGGCAAAACCAAGGATGTCAATGGAAAACAACCCCAGTCCACACGGGAAGAAAATAATCCCAGTTTTAACATGAAATGGAAGTTTTACCAATGCCTCTGGACCAAAAGAAAACAAGCAGCTTTTACATCACTTACTTCCACAAGAGAATTCCCACTGCAAACTGATGGAGCTCCTACAGATTCTGGATAGGAAGAGGAGAGCCACACACAGCAAATACACGCGGAGCAGCCGTCCCTTCCCTTCCGAGCCAGGCAAGTAAACACCTGACCACGCTACATCCCTGGAAACACGGTGCTCTACTGGCAGACAGGGAAAAACAGCCTTTAAAAAACGAAAACAAGCTCTATCAGTAAAAGTGCACTTCTGCAGATAAACTGCTCCTGCAGCTGGGACTTCTGCTGGCACAGCTCTGTCGGTCACGGGTCACACTCCGGCACCGCGCGCGCAGACAGAGCTGTGCCAGCAGAAGTTTGCCGTGCAAACCTGGGGGGAAACTCGGGAGCCGCTAACGTGGATCTGCAAAGGCCTGTGTTTTTCCAACAGTCTGACCATGAGGAGCCTGTCTTACCCCTGGCACGTGAATCTCTTGCTTCCAAGCACAGAAGAAAACTGGACTTCACACGGGAACACGGCAGTGCCTCTGAGCCATTTACACTGCACTTTATCCTTCAATTAAATACACAAACTGAGCGAGGAAGAGCCCCCGTAGGAAGGGAAGATAAAAGGGAATAAATTAAGTTGTGCTGTACTTCAGCCCTTGGAGCAGCCCGCCCTCACTTTTAATAGTAAGAAGGGAACAAAACTGAAAGTGTTTAACGGGATTTGTTTAGCAGACAGCAGAGCATTGCAGAATTTCCACCGCTCTGTGAAACCCAACAGCTGAACTGTAACAGGACTTTTGGCATCTTCAGAAATCCCCGGAGGAGATTTAATGCCCGAGTTGGTGCTCAAGCAGAAGTTCTGTTTGGGTGAGTCCACACGATACTGCGGATCGTTATTCCAGAGCACGGAGCAGCGAGATGTCAGGAGCGCGCGCTGCCCATCTGCTCCGGAGAGAAATTATAAAATCAAGCTGGAAGTAACCTCCCACCACCCTCTGGGAGGGGAAGGAAAGCCACGGAGAAGGGCTACGTCCAGGAAGTTGGGTCAGGCTGCGGCGCAAAGCAAACCTCAACCGTCCAGCACGTGGGAGAGGGATGTTTGGCAGCACAAATTTCCCCATTTTCCATAGGGAGAACACAGAAGTAAAGTCCCTGGCAGTCCCGCGTTTGTAGAGGCCGTGCTCCGCCTTCCTCAGAGCTTTCTGGCCCTCCAAAGCGGGACACAGCTTCTAGGAATTCCTTGGGTTGTGTCACGCTGTCGTTAGAAATAATGTACTATTTTTTTTCTTTTTAAAAATAAACACACGAACATCACTTTCATCAGCAGTCATGTCTGCGCACCCTGAGTGACTTCAGGGTGGGGTGTTCTCCCCTCCAGGTTAGTTTTGAGTGGTGGGGGAGTGTCACAGAGAGGGGAGGACACAGGTATGAATTTAACTGTAGGAAATTCCCCGCTTAACCAAGGCCACCTAGAATCTTTATCAGCAGGCCGGCTCCTGAGAAGCTGCACCTCCCCAAAACAAATACTCAGCCTATTCAAAGTTTCCAAAATGGCCCGATTAAAGCCACTGGTCTAAAGATTTCCAGAAGGTCAGACAAAAGCTGGTGGAGCAACCGAGCCCTTGGCCATGTTTACCACCAGCACTTCAGTTTAAAAACCAAGTCCCAAACTGGGACAAAAACTCCGTGTTCAGGTGTGTTCTACTATTTGCAAGCACTGTGGCCTGGGCTGGCAGCACAGATTTTATTGCAGGTGATGTTGCTGTCATCTTCCTTCTACGGGACTGCTGTGGACCACTGGGAAACCACTAGGGAAAGGTGGTGAGACTAGTGACCCTCACCACAAACATACCCTCACTCCACAAACATCCTTTGCCAAAAAACACCCTCATCAACCTCCTGGAGGGTCACCCACGGTACCAGGTGAAGGTCCCATTATGGGACGTGGGCTGGCACGGAGGAAGCTGCGGCCAAGTTCTTGTCCCACAGCCAAGCTTCACCCCATGCTTTGGGTTCACCCCATGGCCAGGATTTGCCCCACGGCCGGGATCTGTCCCGCAGCTGAGGTTCACCCCATTACTGGCGTTCACCCTGTGGCCGGGATCTGCCTCACGGCCGGGATTTGTCCCATGACCGAGGTTCATCCCATGGCCAGGATTCACACCACGGCTGGGATTCACCCCACGATGGGAATTTACCCCACGACCAAGATTTGCCCCACGACTGGGATTCACTCCATGTCTGGGATTCGTCCCACGACTGGGGTTTATCCCATGGCCAGGATTCGCTCCACGGCCAGGGTGTGCCCCATGACCGGGATTTACCCCACGTCCGGGATTCACCCTTCGGCCAGGGTTCACCCCATGGCCAGGATCTGCCCCGTGATCCGTCCCACGGCCGAGATCTGCCTCACGGCCGGGACCGGTCCGCTGGCTGAGCTTCAACCCCAGGGCCCGGGGAACTCGCCGCCCGGCCGCGCTCCCCACTGTCCGGCCGGCACCCCGCAGCGCCCGCGGCATCCCCCGCGGCCGCCCCGGCTCGGCTGCAGCGCCGACCAGGCGGCTCCGGGGGCCGTCGCCGCGGGGCCGATCCGCTCCCCCCGCGGGCCGTGGCCGCGCTCCCCCTTACGCGGTTGCCGCCGCGCGGGGCCCGACATGGCGGCGGGGCCGCTCGCCGGCTCCCCGCTCACCTGCATGGGCGCGGCGGGGCGGCGGGGCCGGCGGGGCGGCGGGGCGGGCAGCAGCGGCAAGACATGGCGGGCGGCGGCCGCGGGCGTGGCGGGGACGGAGCCGCGGGGCCCGGGCGGCGACGGCGCGAGCAGGAGGAGGAGGAGGAAGGAGGAGGAGGAGGCGGCGGCGGCCGGGGAGCGGAGGGTCGGAGAAGACGTGGGGCGGGCGCGGGGAGGCGGCGGGCGGTGCCGGGGCCGCGGCGGGGGGGACGGTTGGGCACTCGCGGGGCCGTGTCACCGCGCGCGGCCGGGCGCTTGCTACCCCGCGAGGGATCAGAGAGGCCGCCTTCCCCGGCTTCACCCCTGGCTTTTACCCTGTTCCCCCCCCCCCCGCTTTCAAAGCTGTCACCGTCAGCCGGGACGTGGCGTGGGCTTGGCTTCGCGGGCCGCTCGCCCCCGGCGCTGCGAGAGGGAAGAGTCCACCTTTCCGAAGGGATTTGACAAGTCCTCGTCGGTGCCAGACGCCTTTGTTTCTCCGCAGGCGGCAGCTCCTCTGCTGGGAAGCGTGTTTTTGGCGCCCAGGTTTCAGTGGCACGGCCCCCCGTGAGTCCTGAGGGCGGCTGGAGCGGGGAAGAGCAGGTAAATGTCGCCCCGTCGTCTCCTGGACGCACCAGCAGCCCTTTGGGATGGACGCGAGGAAAAGATGGATTGGAAAATAAAATAAAAGCAGCACCCCGGCACGGGGAGGGATGTGGGTCTCTCTGTACCCAGGTGGGAAAGCAGTGGTAGAAAAGAAAAGCGTCAGGGAGATGGAGGGAGGGGTTTGAGGGAGCAGCAGGTGGCTGGGGGGGTGGGGGCACAGAGGGGGACAAGAGATCAGGCCTGAAGACTTTTCTTTGTAATTTTCTTTCTACAGCAGTTGCCTGGGCTTGTGCTGGACTCAAAAAACTCAAGGATGCCTGGAGAGCGGGAAGTGCCTCTGTTGGTAGGAAATGGGCTTTGGAGCAAGTGCATAATTGGGAATGGGCGCACCATCACCGTGAGCTCATGTTTCTCTCCCAAAATCCACGATCCACAGCAGAGACTTTGTGTCTAACAAGCCAGAGGCTTGCAAGGGGATTCCAGAGTCATGGAGTTAAGACTGTGAAGGATTCAGGTCGTTACCTGCACATTAAACAGTCTCCGGTTACATCTGCCACCACTGTGGGAGTCAAACATTAGGGAGTCCTAATGCCCATCCGAAATAATTCCATTTCCCACCCTATGTTTTAAACTCATGTCACTCCTCACTGAGGCTTTTTAGCCGAGCAGGGTTCCTTTTCCTCCTGTCACCCTGACAATTCCCCATCTCCATCCTTTCCCAGGATGCTGAGCATAGAGTTACATTGAACAAACATGGATCAGTTATGTTGATTCATTTTGCAGAGCCACACATGTCTGATTTAAAAATTCTTAGACATGGATTGATCAGGATCGGGATGTTTTTAGTCAAAAAAGCGCATCAGTGTTGAGTAAAGGCCCTCCCTTTAACCATTATAGTTTGTGGTATGTATCTGATAAGCTTAGGAGACAGTTAACAAAGTCCTTGCAGGTGGATGCTGCTCCACGAGTGGAGCAGTGTGGATCAGGCAACTCTTATCCCAATCCATTTGCAAGGGAAGAGGAGTGAAAATACCATTCTGGAATTACACGGGGCTCGGACGTCACATTATTAAGCGTTAACTAGATAATGTTCGCGTTAACTTGACAATGTTCACCCAAACAGACGTGGTGGAACAGGTGGAAACGCGCCCATGTCAGCGGCTCTGCCTGCCCTCAGCCGCCATGTTGGTTCGGGGGCGGGAACACCAGTTTTGTTCGCGGCGCTATGACACAACCCCGAGATTGCCCCGAGACCCCTTTCAGGCCGGTTCAGAAGCGAACTGGAGGCTTTTAACCAGCGCCCGGCAAGGGGTTACCCCTCTCCGGGCAGCGAGCACACGCCAGGAGAGGGGGAAAGCGCAGCCCCGGAACGCCAGGCCCAGGGCACGACGGGCGGGTGGACGGCAGTAAAGGGAACACCGTCCTCGGTCTCGGGGAGCGAGTTCCGCGGGGAACGCTTTGGGCGCTGCACCGCGGC